ATTGGGTACCACAGACTAGCTTATCAGCTGCCTGATCTTATGAAATTGTGCAATTTCCGTTTGGGGCTGAAACACGGTGCAGCGCTGTTCATGACCAGTGGTAGGGAGAACGCATCATGGTTGAGTGTTGAGAAAGTTGAATATATATATATATATATATATATATATATATATATATATATATATATATATATATATATATATATATATGCAAAGCTCTTCTATAAATTGAGCCCTCTTGGTCATTGGAGTGTTTGTTCGAAAATAAGGGCTTAAATCTATCTTCCTCTCTACCGAGCGCTGGGACAAATCAGTCGGGTTTCGATCCCGGTTTGAGGCTATCGGATGTCTAGCCACACTGATGAGCTGTGATACAGCGAAACAGTCTGTCTGTAGATGACAATATATATATATATATATATATATATATATATATATATATATATATATATATATATATATACAGTAGCGTCCAAAACTAAGGGACAAAATTTTAAAACCTAATATTTGTTAGAAATAACTGTGAAAAGCTGAAATTTTGACAACTGGTAGTCGTTATTATCCATAATAACATACTAAAATTTGAATCATTTGCAAAGGATAGAAAAAGAATTATAACAATTATTTATTTATTTTCAAATTTGGAACGTCCAAAAGTAAGGGACAAAATTGAGAAAAACAATGTAAACGGCAAAAAAACAATAAAAATACATGTACAATCAATATTTAGTAAATGAGCCCTTGCTCTCAATGACAGCTGCACATCTTCGACTACAAGAACGAATCAGTTCTTGACAATCCTCGATACTAATTTTAGACCATTCTTCTTGAAGCTTCACTTACAAATCCTCCGTGTTAGTGGGATTTCTTTCCATAACTTTCACTCCTAAGGTCTTCCAAAGATTTTCTATTGGATTTAAGTCAGGACTTTGCGGTGGCCAATCCATAATTTCCAAATCTTGCTCGCTAAGGTAACTCATTACCAACTTTGCCTTGTGACATGGGGCATTATCTTGCATAAAGGTAGCCCTATCGAAACCTGAATTCTGTATGATTGGCACAACATGATCTTGAACAATGTTTTTATAGATCTGCGCGTTTACACGTGTTTGTAACCGGACAAGAGGCGTTGTACCTTGGCTAGAAAACATTCCAAATACCATGACGCTTCCGCCCCCAAACTTGACAGTTTTCTTAGTACACTTTGCACTTAATCTTTCACCAATACGTCTCTTTACATTGTTTTTTCCATCATTTCCAAATAAATTAAACTTGCTTTCATCACTGAAAAATTCTTTTGCCCAATTTTCATATGTCCAAATTACATACCTGTTTGCAAACTCTAATCATCTCTTCTTCTTATTCTTCGAACTAACAAGTGGTTTCTTCCCTGGGGTTCGATTAAACAGCCCTATTTCTTGCAGTCGTCTACAAACAGTCTGTCTTGACACATTAACACATGAGGTACTATTCATAACCCTTTTAATTTCTGTGCAAGACTTAAAACGGTCCTTTAATGACATACGCTGCATTATTCGATCTTCTCTTGCCGAAGTTTTGCGGGGTCTGCCGGTTTTAAAAGCACTAACTATTTTACCAGTATAATTGTAGGATATAACAACCCTGCCTACAACATTCTTGGTACGTTTCACTTTCTCTGAAATCTCTCTAATGGTGTGCTTTTCCTTGTGTAGCTTCACAATAGCTTGTCTGCTTTTGGCGTTTCGCCATGGTGCCGGCTGATGCAACGTTTACAAATGACTAAGTAAGACTTATTCTTTAGAGGAAATCAAAAAATTTGAATATAGCATACTGTTTCCATTGTTTTTCTCAATTTTGTCCCTTACTTTTGGACGTTCCAAATTTGAAAATAAATAAATAATTGTTATAATTCTTTTTTTCTATCCTTTGCAAATGATTCAAATTTTAGTATGCTATTATGGATGATAACGACTACCAGTTGTCAAAATTTCAGCTTTTCACAGTTGTTATTTCTAACAAATATTAGGTTTTAAAATTTTGTCCCTTAGTTTTGGACGCCACACTGTGTGTGTATATATATATATATATATATATATATATATATATATATATATATATATATTACATTATTTACATTATTCGGACTATTGTCCTCATCTTTGTCGCCATATTTATTTTGTTTCGGCGGTTGTACGCTCCGTCCTTCTTCAGGTCGATGGAATGTCGAACTGAACCCTTTATTTTTTTTATTTTATGTCCTCAAGGACACATGGCACAGTGGATAAAGGCGTTGGTTAGATCCAGTGACAGGACCCAAAGAGTGTGAGTTCAATACCCGGTTAAGGCAGTGGAGAACTTTCAAAGGGAAATTAACAGGAGATAACTGATAACATCCATCAAACAATGGAACTAGAACAGTCTACCCCAATGAGAGAAATAAAGGGTTCAGTTCGACATTCCAACCACCTGAAGAAGGCCGGAGCGTACAACGGCCGAAACGTTGTGATAAATATGGCGACAAAGATGAGGACAATAGTTCGAATAATGTAAATAATGTACATAATACCTCATCTCAGAAATATATATATATATATATATATATATATATGGTCTATTATGCTCAAGATAAAAACGGTGAAGCCTGGGCTTTGAACATCTCGAAAGATATTGACAGGGTTTGGCATACAGGACTTCTTCACAAGCTCAAAAATGACGGTGTTTCCGGACAAATTGATCCAATCTTTCCTATCATAGAGTGAAATGAAAGTCATAATGAACGGTCACTCGCTCAGATTCTTTTGTAATAATGCGGGTTTCAACCTTGGGCTTATTTTGTTTTTAATTTTCATTAATGATTTTCCCGATAGCATCAGCAATGAAATTGGTATCTACGCTGATGACACAACCATTTAATTCCGTCTCGATAGTAAATCTGATCAGTCCGATAAGGTCAAAATGGTAGCTGATGTCCAAAACCACCTCCAGTCTATTGTTAATTGGGGCAAAAGTTTGCTTGTTAATTTTAACGTCTCCAAGACTAAACTTATCTCCATTAATCATCTTCGAGACTCAACTCAGCCTTCCATCAGCATGGCTGATGCTAACACCCAGAAAACTCGCGCCTTCTTGAGCTAAACTTCATGGCTGACATGAAGTGTAAAGACTATATTAATATGCTAACTGCTAAGCAAGTTGGTTCACCGTGTCGTGCAAGACAATTTTTCTCTCCATAATCGATCATAGTTACCTATGTTTCTTATTGGTCCATGCTTAGAATATTGCTGCTACATATGGTCCGGTGCTTCTGCATTTTTACTTTGAGCTCCTTGATAAAATCCAAAGAAGAATCAGCAATATTATTGGTTCTGATCTGGCGGCTCGGCTTCAGTTATTTTCCCACTGCCGTGAAGTTGTCTCCCTATGCATTTTCTATAAATACTATCAGGATTATTTTTCGGATGAGCTCTTCGCTATGGTACGCAGCCTTTTCGGATTTCAGTGCAACTCTAGTCTAGCGTCTAAATCTCCACCGTTTACAGTTGAGCTGCTTATATGTAACCATAAATTCTATGCTAACAGTTTCTTTTCTTGCATTTCTCACTTGTGAAACTCTCTTCAGTCTCCATGCATTTCAGCCAACTTTAATCTCCAAAAATCTAAATGCAATGTCAATCGATATCCACTGTTTTCATGATTACTCTTCTTTTGTTCTTGGTCATTAGTAATGTTTCTAATCCTTATTTTTCCACGGCCAGTAAGCTCCTTGTGTCTTAGTGGCTGTACTCCCTTGCTTGGGGTGAATTCGATTAATATATATATATATATATATATATATATATATATATATATATATGTATGTGTGTGTGTCTGCGTGAGTGTGTTTGTGTGTGTGTACTTAGGCAACAGTCCTTCTTTCATGCACATTTCATTAAATACGACAGACAAGGTGCTTTTATCTAGTTTTAATACAATTTCTCATGCGATCTAATATTTTTTTTCTTTTTGGATGATAAATTATATAAAAACTGTCCGAATGTTCTTTTTATCCGAGCGCTTTCGGCTATACATTTAGCCATTTACAAGGATTAAATATTTTAACTGCTAAATAAGAAATATATATATAACAGTATGTGATAATTGTTCACCCCACAAAATGTTTAATATCTAAAAATCCACGAAACTAATTGAGTTCCTTTTTTCCAGGTTTTCAGATAAGACGTTTAGCCATATTGATAATACATGTCGTAAGAATCACTGAAAAATCATTAGAGATATTCAGATAGAAAGTGAACAGTTTAAAATCGTTTTGTGTCAGCCCATTATGATAGGAAAAAGATCAATCCAGGCCTTCAGGATTAGTATCAACATTTATACTCTGGATCCATCTTCAAAGCAAATTCACAGACCATCAAGAAAACGGTGAATAGGTTTAAAAAAGAGAGAACGGTAGAAAAGAAGACTGGATCAAGAGGTCACAACAGGAAAAGGGATTTCAAATTACAGCTAAAGAGATCAATTAGAAAAATCCAACTAAATTCATGAGACGTTTGGACATGAGAGAAGAGTTTCAGCTATGACAGTCCAAACAGCCGTGAAAGAACACTTGAAAGTAAAATCGTACGTGAAACGTGGGAAGCATCTTGTTCCTTCAGGACAGAAAGTTAGAAGGTTAGAGAGGGCGAAGATCATCTTGCATATGTTGGAAAATGATCCTGGAATAATATATATATATATATATATATATATATATATATATATATATATATATATATATATAAACTTTATATTAATCCTTCATGATCTTCCGATCCTATCTATGAATAATTAATAATGAACATGACATTTTCGTTTGTGATCGATTTCATCACGATTCTCCTGTTAAATTTGGAGAGTAATTATACATTTTTATTACTCAAAGTAAAGTCCAATAGTGTTATAAAACGTCGGAGAATCCAGTAAGATATCTTTAATCATTTCTATGATACAACGTTTCACCTAACAATTGGACAATTTTGCAGGTTACACCCGATATCTCCCTCTCTCTGTCTCCCCATCTATCTATCTATCTATCTATCTATCTATCTATCTATCTATCTATCTCATTGAATAATTTAGATAAGTTTTGTCTATATTTTGAATAGGATCCTCTCTTATTCACGAAGAAGCTTCTTAGTATCCTTATTAAAAAAGCGAGAGAATTACTATGTTGATACCTATTCTAATTTTTGAAATATACTAAATTTTGAAATGTCTATATGTATTTAAAAAAACTAAAATTTCTTTAAGGCATGTACATTAAAAATTTGAAATTTAAAACAAAAAATAAGTATATTTCAAACTTAATTACCTTTCCTGGCGTTTACATCATGAAATTTAAATCGTACACTACATAGCCTCCGCGTTTTCAATTCACAGTTATATATATATATATATATATATATATATATATATATATATATATATATATATATATATATATATATCATACGTACAGACCGAAAACCTTCTTGCCCACGTGTCTACATTTTGATTTCCGTTCTCCTGTTCAACAACACTGCAATGTCCTGAAACTTCTACTCTTGACACAACCTACAGTTATTGTCACCAGTTCCACCAGATCTCTCCTCCAAATGCTTCTCTCCCCATTAGGACCCCAATCACGCTCCTCTTTCGACCTCCAGACACGGCCTCTCACTACACAGTCACAGTAACAGTCGGTAACGATGTGGGCGCACTGAAAATACCCAGAGCCTTTCGGCTGGGATTAAACTGTAGTATATTACGCCGGGCAGATAAAATACATTTCATCTCTCAGTTGTGTCTCGGTCTGAGGCCAAAGCACAACTAAAAAATATTATTGATAGCTTCCCGGTCTCGGTAAACAGCTGCCTATGGTAGTACCCACTTCAGTGCACTCTAGAGATAGCCTTAGCTAGGGAGGCCGTGGAGCGTTCGAATAGCGTGCGCTATATGAGCCAGTTAATTAGACATAGGTTAAGCAAAATGTCTTCCGAAGCTGTGAACATGGGCGCAGATCTGCGCAAGGAAGAGATTCTTCGAGGAGGCGATCGTTACATTCGTGAGGTCAGTTCCCCGGAGTGGCATACTCTTCGAGCCACTGACGACATGTGCGAAGTGTTTCGGCGGCATTTCGAGAGCCGCTTTACCAAGGAGCCTGGTCTTCGTGAGGAAGAGTTTAACAGCTATTTGGCTGACTTTCCTCGGCTTTCGCCGACTGAAGCGGCTAGCTGCAAGGGAGAGATCACGGAAGGCGAGGTCTACGTGGCATTGAAGAAGGTCGGCAGAGGCAAGTCGCCCGGTCTGGATGGTTTGCCCTATGAATTGTACTGGAGGCTGTCGCACATCTTTGTCCCGATTTTGACTGTGGTGTTCAACAACTGGTTCCGGCAGGAGTTCCTCCCCGACCTGTTCTCCATGGGTGTGATCACGCTGTTGAAAAAGGGAAAGGGTGTTGTGTGGGTTGAAAACTAGATGATTACAGGCGCATAACTCTGCTAAACACAGAGTTAAAGATTTTAGCTAAGATCCTGCCGGAGTGTTTGCAGTCAGTTGCCGAGTCTCTGTTGGGTCCGGAGCAGACTTGTTCGGTGAAGAGCCGAACAGTTCAGAGCAAACTGCATATGATCCGCACGATCATAGAGGGTGTAAAAGACGACGATAAGGCCGCGCTGATCAGTTTAGATCAGTCCAAGGCATTTCATAGGGTTGACCATCGCTACCTTGCGGCTGTCCTCCAGGCCGCTGGATTCGCACCCGACTTCTGCCGCTGGATTGGCCTCCTGTATCGCTCCCCCAGTGCTGTGGTACAGGGGAACGGAAAGCTGTCGGACGCTTTTGCGTTGTCTAGGTCGGTTCGTCAGGGTTGTTCACTGTCGCCCCTACTTTATGCTTTGGCGTTGGAGCCTCTCCTTCGCCGGCTGAGGGACAGGGCGTGCAGTCCGGCCCTACGCGGAATCGCCGTTCCTGGAGGAGTTCAAGCCAGGGTTTCTGCGTACGCCGATGACGTATCTGCTTTCGTGTCATTGAGAGGCAACCGATTCCGAGACAATCGCCAGGTAAGCGAAAACTCCGGGTTACTGAGGTAATCCGTTGTTGGCGCCCAAGATCAGCAAGAGCGAAACTCCTCTTCCGACAAGTTGAGTCGGTACTGAAGGCGCTTGATCGGTACGAAAAGGTGACAGGGGCCAAGATTAACCGCGACAAGTCATCCGGCTTGCAGTTTGGTGCCTGGAAGGCAGTCGATCTTCCGGGGCCCTTCGGTTGGACGGACGGTCCTGTCCGCATTCTTGGAGTGTGGTTTGGACCCGACCTCCAGCTGGAGAAAAATTGGTCTGAAGTACGAGCAAAGGTCGATGCTGCCGGGTAGACTTGGCGTCGACGGAGATTGTCCGTGAATGGCAGGGCGGAGGTTTGTGCTACATACATTTTCCCTCTTGTCCTTTATCGATTGTCCGTACTTCCTCTCTGTAAAGGCCATCGGAAGGCGCTCGAGCGCTCGCTATCCTCAATTTTAGGGAGGGGACGCGGGATTCGGGTCGACAGACGAGTCTGTGAAGAACGTCCGTGTCATGGGGGAAGGCGGGCTGGGAATGCCACACTTGGTGAGCCACAAATTACGCCGCGCATTGACGGGAGATTCGATTATGGCGAGGATTGTTAGGGACGTGTTCCCTTTCCTTATTATCAGTTCCCCCATCTAGCGGATTGAGCGCCATCGTAAACCACGGGATCAATCGGATTTCCTTCGCGAGTGTCGGTCGGTTTTGTTGGCTGTTCCTCGGTCCAGTGACCTTTCTCGGCCTAGAAATTTCTTCTATCGTTTTCTAGTGGAGGGGGTCGCGAAGGATTCCCTACGTGAGGAGCTCGACTTGTCGGAGGTGGAGTTTCACTCTTACTGGTCTTGGGCGCCAGCAGCGGATTACCTGAGTAACCAGGAGTTTTCGCTATAAGGCGATTGTCTCGGAATCGGTTGCCTCTCAATAACAAGGCCTGCATACGGGGCTTGGCGGATTTGCCAGACTGTGAACGGTGTGGCCTTGGTTTAGAGGAAACGGCTTCGCACGCTTTCTAATATTGTCTCCGTGTCCGCCCCTTATGGGACCATGTCGGCGAGCTGACGGCTCGTCTCGCTCCCGAAAAGCTCGTGCCCATTGATCGCGCATACGCGTGTGACAATGTGTCCCCGTATTCCGTGGTGAAACGGATGGTGTTTCTGACGCTGATGGCCACGGCCCGAATGGCGCTCAACGAGATGGGGAACTGATAGTAAGGAAAGGGAACACGTCCCTAACAATCCCCGCCAGTCTTGCGGGGCCTCCGTCTTTCTCATCAGGATCTGATCCTATTCTTTGAGCATCAGCTCAAGATGAAGATTAGAACTGATAGAAAACGCTTGCATTCGACAGTCTTCAGCTAAAGTTGGGTGTCTGAGGCGAGCTTGGTTCGTTTAGACAGGGCTAATCTTGATTTTCTCTTTTATGTCAAACCTATGTCACATCGGGGTGGTTTCCTGTGAAGCCCTCCCCCTGGTTAGGTTAGACAAGCTTTTGTGTACCTAGTTAATGTGAGTAAATGTTGTTCCTAGCCTGTTCCCGGCGACATCTTTTGTTATGATCCAAGTTGAGATTCCCAACCTCCCCAGTTTGTTTTGACCCCTTTTTTTTATCTTGACTGAAGCAGTTTTTTCTTTCCCATGTCCGTGTATATTTTCTCCTTTTCCCGCTCTCTTAGCGAGAGAGGCTCTTGATTTTGTCCAAATGGGCAGAATACAGCGGCCTCTAATTTTGAGGCTTGGACGGGCCCAACTAACATCAGTTATGTTTAGTTTATTATGTGTTTCTATTTAATTTGTTTTGGGGCTTATTCCCACCCCTCTAATTTTTCATCACAGATTTTTTAGTATTTATTATCATTAATTTTTTACCGCATGGGATGCGTTTGGTAGGTCCTCCTTGTGAGGATACGGTATTATGGTGTATGGAGGATTGATTGGTGATGGACGAATTTTTGTGGTGAATGGGCAAATTGTAATGAGTGAATGGGTCGTGAATCGGATTAGCTAGGTATAAGATAATTAGTGAAGACCAGCCTCAAACCCTCCCCTTCATCGGCCTTGTGCCACAATTGTATTTATTACAATAAATACCGTCCACATTGGACGAAACGCGTCAGCAATTACAAGTTTTCCTATTGTCATTTCTATTCATGATTATTGTCATCTCTATTGGTTAAATCGGAGAAATTTTCATATATATATATATATATATATATATATATATATATATATATATATAGTTTATGCAAATTTAGGTAATCCGTATGGGTAGACCTGAGGAGGATGATATCCAGAGAGCTCAATGTAAAATTCAGAGCATATATATTTGAATAAAAAACAGACCACGTTAAGATTCCATGTAATAAGTTATTTCACCATAACCCCTTTAACAGGGTTCTGGATCATCAGACTTTACTTCCAAAAGCTGAAATGAAAAATGAAAAGAAATTCACACGTTTTTTACGGACCTCATCAAGTATACGTAAAATTAACGAAGTGAGGAAGTGAGGTGGGACAGAGGTTATGAGTGTGTCATATGTATCATTTTAGTTTCCTATTTTAACCCCAGTGTGTCAAATTTAACGCGTCTCGTCTCTAGATAAAGGTGGTTAAGGGGTGAGCGATAAGAACTACCTTAAAGGGAGTCGTTTCCAATATATATTGGAAAATTATAACATAAATATGTTATAAAATAACATATTTATGTTATAATTTTCCTATATATATATATATATATATATAATTAAAAATGACTGACTTGTTATTTCCTTAATTTTTTGAATTGTATTTTTCTAGTATGCGAACAAAATATTTCTTTTTTTGAAATAATATTTGTAAAAATTGTCTAAATCACTGTTGATTCCGAACACTGTCAGAAAATCTATTAGCCATTTTCAGCGAGTTTGGGTTTTTCAATTATAAATGGTAATTGCAAATGCAGCTCCACGGTTAATTTTAACGTACTGTACTGTACTGTACTGATGCGGCATTCACCCTGGGCGGATTGAGCCGGCTTCTTCCTGTTATGAGAAGAAGATTCTTGGGATAAATTACAGAAGTAGGGTACCCAGGCCCACTCGGATAACGTTCTTGCTTGCCGTGGGATTCCCACAGACGCAGAGACAGGAATGACCAGAAGCCGCCGGTTACCGATGCAGACGCCCCTTGATTTTCACCAGAGCCCTTGTTAGTTGGCGTGTGTGTGTCTGACCTGTCCGCCTTTGGTGGCCCTCTACCAGGAACGAAGTTCCGGCGGCATAGCTCTGACACTACTGTTTACACCCCCCACCGACTGTGAGGTAAGGTTTGGACTTTGGGGGCTTATAGTACCATGTGTTCCCAAGCGGTCCCCCATCTAAGTACTGACCTGGCTCTACACTGCTTAACTTCGGTGATCGTACGAGAACCGGTGTTTTCAGTGTGATTTGACCGTAAGCTGGTAAGGGTTGGACTTTGGGGGCTTACAGTACCAGGTGTTCCCAAGCGGTCCCCCATCTTAGTACTGACCTGGCTCTACGATGCTTAACTTCGGTGATCGAACGAGAACCGGTGTTTTCAGCGTGATTTGACCGTAAGCTAAGTTAATTTTAACGGTGTATAAATGACTGAAATCTAAACTCATTCTTAATTCTCGAATATAACCAGTACTCCATGGCCGTTTTCATAGATAAATAGATAGATAGATGGATATAAATATATTCAGTCGAGTGCATTCCGTAGATCGTTGGCTCTCAAATTTAGCTCATAAAAAAATCGCCTTTTTATTCTTTTCCTTTACATTGAAGTTCAACCTTCACAGGACCTGAGCGCCAATCGAGATAGAGGGTTATTTTAGGACGCAGTTTCTGTGGATAGGTTGGGTTTGGTTTACTTTGTTTTATTTTTGTTTTACGGCATATCAACCTCACTCGGTTATTTAATGCCGGCAGGATTTTAGGATCGTATGAATAGAATATGTATTCTTTGTAAGAAATCAGTTTGTATATAAGGCTCCGTTAAGGTATTTTTGTAAAGAGAGTTTTTGTCGAGAGTCAAATGTAATGCTGGTAGTATTTTTTCTTCAAAACTGCATTGCTGGTAATATTTTTACTATAAAAAAGGTTTTTTATACTTTCATGTTTTTTTTACGCTCAGATTGAGGGTTAACTATTTGCCAATAGCTGGGAACTTAACAGTTGCTACCACTCCTGGTCAGGGTGAACCCAGGAACAACAGCAATTAAGAGGGGCTACCACGCTACTCAAAACCTCCAGATCAGAAGAAGAAATCAGTTTGTATATTAGGTTTCATTAACGTTTTGTCGAGAGGCAAATATATTACTGGTAATATCTTTTTCTTTAAAACTGAAGTGCTGGTAACATATTGTCTATAAAAACCATTTTATACTTTCTTAGTGTTTTGAGCCCAGTTTGGGGGTCAACTGTCCATAGCTGGGACCCTAACAGGTGCTACCACCCTGGATCAGCAATTATGAGGTTGTTCCACGCTCATCAAAACCTCCCGGTCAAAGGCTTTGATGCCGGTTGTAGTTTATCGTTATACCCGGGACGGTGAACGGGATAGGACTGGAAGATAACTGTTGATCCTTTACTTGAACAGTTTAAGACTGTAGTGATCGGGGAAACATCCTCTTTTGGCGTCGGTTCCACAGAGCGGTGGTTTGCAAGAAGAAGCAGTTCGAGTGGAACGTATTTCTGACCAATGGAATACGGAGGGAATGTGGAGGGTTTGCCAAGAATTTTAGAACTGTTGGAATCAAGGAATATAGTTCGACCGAGCACTTTCCGTGGAAGTAACGATAGAGCAGTGAGAGGCTTGCCACCTCCCACCCGTGGGAGAGAGAGATTGGAAGGTGTAAAATATTTCTTCTCCAACCAGGATTCGGAAACGATTTTGAACACTGTCGAGGCTGGAGAGTGCGGTCTGGGCAGATCCCAACCAAATATGACAACCTTACTCTATTTTTGACCTGATTTGGCTATTGTAAGGGTAGAGGATACTGGGAGGAGACAGGTCCATAGGATAGCGCTACAGGGAGTCGACCATTTTACCCGCATCTTTAAAGAGAGTTCGGTCCTTAGGAAATACTCGAATTTATAACAGAAAATAAAAACGAAGTTTACAGCGAATTTAATATATTACCAGTAACATTTCGACTGTATGAATATTTATTTCAATTTTGGATGTCAGAAGGAATATTTAGAAACGTCACCATAGTGCTAAATTGGATCTTTAGATTTTTTTTTACGTCTGTAAACCTATCTACATTATTCGGACTATTGTCCTCATCTTTGCCGCCATATTTATTACAACGTTTCGGTCGTTGTACGCTCCGACCTTCTTCAGGTGGTTGGAATGTCGAACTGAACCCTTTATTTCGCTCGCTTCAAGGACACATGACACAGTGGATAAAGGTGTTAGTTTGATCCGGTGACAGGACCCA